TAGGGCCTTTTACCTGGACAAAAACCTAAATTTTTAGAAACCCAAACCAACCATAACAAAAAAAAATATCCAAAACGGGGGGGATCCCTCCAAGATACGATACTAGTGGGTGCAAAAATGCCCTTCTCACACTATACCATTCACCTTTTTATATCCCCCACCTCCCATGCTATTTGTTTCTTGGGGGTTTAACGCAGCAACACCCCTAAAGCCAATAATAACCGAAAAAAGCCCCAGTTTAAGGGAAAAATCCTAAAACCCATTCCCCGGCAACCCCACCCCCCCCACTTTATAGATCTAAACTTACTCCCCGTTTAAACATCCAACCCTTTCCAATGTGCAATCTATATCTAAGGGCCCCTTAAAAATTTCCCAAAATTAACCTTTACCTAAAATGCTTTCTTGTAGTTGGGACAGGAACCACAGGGTTAAAAACCCGGGCACAAAATCTCTATGACATTCCCCATGGTTTTGGCTTAAAACCCTTTTCAAAAATTCAATGTTTTTTCAAAGGGGCCTAAAAAACTGGGAAAACCCCACCTGAAAACCCCTAGAAAATGAACACATTCATCACTTTCAAAAAATACAGTTAGAAAACCCTCTTATTCCCTGATCCACCCCGACAAAAAACTACATGGGTAACCCCCTGGTGGTTCACAAATTTCACCACTCACCCCCTGACATAAAAACGAAAAACCAATTTTTAAACCCTTTAAAAAAATGAATTTCCCAACTATCCTAAGGGGGTTTCCCATGTTTCTCCCTTTTTGACACCTTGTATTTTTGCCATTACAGAAAACATTCCAAAATTGCCTTTAAATCACAAATTAATTAGTTCCCCTTAGCCTTAAAACCCTAATCGGGAAAAAATTAAGAAAAAAATCTAAATCTGCTCGAAATGCCTACCATGGCTAGGTGTCCCAGTGGCCCCCCCCCGTAATTAGTATTTTTATAACATGTAAACCCCACAATACCCAAAAAAATGTAAACCCCCAATTTTAACCTTTAGTTAAACTTGAAAATTTAATTGAATTGAATTTGGGGCTGGAAGGGCAAATTTTGGTTCGATCCCTGGAAAACAGAGGGGCAGATCCACTTCCTTTTTATCAAAAAGCATTTCCCTCAGCATCAAGGTTTCCTTCTCCCAGGGGAAGGCAACCCGTTTAAAAAACCCAAGACGTGTGCCATGAAATACAACCTTTTTACGTTGGGCCCTTTACAAAACTTACTCCCCCAGATGTGGAGCTCAGGGTGAGGTTTCCTCCTCTTTCCCCCGATGACTCCAATAATGTTGTTAATTAAAACCCTTTGGGAAACCCTTTTAAACGTTTTTCTTGTTGTTGTTTAGGGTTTTCCCGGACCAGTAACGCTTAAGCTGAGTAAAGTTTTGCTTTCCGGGTGCCGGTAAGAACCTCCCCCAAAAAGCGCAGTTAAAGGGTGGTATGTTGTTGTTGTTGTTGGGTTAAAGACTTTTGGGGGTTGAAGACCGGTTCATTTCTTTTTTTTCTATGTTGGGTTATCGGGGCCCAGGACGCTAAGCCTTTGACCCGACTTCCGATGGCGGGAAAAATTTTTGTTCCCAAAGGGCTGGGCGAAAAAGAAAAGGAAAAAAAATTCCTTTGAGATAGAAATGGAAGTTTCCAAATAACCCCTTGCCAAACCAACAAGAGGACCCCACCCCCCACCTGAGTTCGTAACGGCTTCCCCCCCAAAGACCGTTAAAGAATTTCCCAGGAAGAAAAAAAAAGGGAGCTGGCTAAAAGTAAGCTGATGAACGGTGCCCCCCTGTAGGTGCCAGGCGGGAAAAATAGAGAGGAAAAGCGCCCCAAGAGAACGGGGGAAATTTGTCACTGTACCAGCGAGAGAGAGACGTCCACACCGACGAAGCCCGGGCGAAGTTAAGAGCCCTGTTTTTTGTTTGTTTGGTTTATCAGGGCCTTTTACTAAAGCGTGGGGTTGAGACACTTTTGCCAAAGCAATCTTTATTCCTAAACTTTCGCCACAAATTGGCTCACAGTCCAAAACAAAAGGGAAAGGGGTAGGAGAGGGGATTGAGAATCAGTCCCTCGGGCCCGGGGGTCGTTTTTTCAGTCCACAAACTTTAGAAGTACAGCATAGGAACGAAAAACGAAAGTTCAGGGAAATCCCAAATGGGGTGGGGGGAAAAACGGGACAGACAAGAATAGTGCGGGGAGGAGTGTTTTTTAGTCGTAGAAATAAGCCAGGGCTTAAAACCCCGCAGCAAAGGCGATCGTGGGACAGAATTGAAAAAAGGGAAAATTCCGGTTTTCTGTTGGGGCCCCCGGGGGGGGTGACGGGGTTAAGGGGCTTCGACCTTTTTGAGCTAGAGAGGAGTGCAGAACTGAGTCATGTCTTTAACCCAAAAAAACTAACAACTGGGGTCAGAGAATGGGACCTTCTTTGAAGGTACCCGTCACGGATCCCCAAGGTTTTTTGAAGTAGGGTTAGAGCAGGATCAGCAAGGAGTAGAAAAGGGTTTTGCAAAAAAGGGATAAAAAACCGCAATTGAAAATTAAACACTGTCAACATCTGGATACTTTATTTAGTAGAACGTTTCGCCATCCAGTGGGTTTATCAATACAGATTTTAGGACATAATAGGAAGACAGAAAAGGTTGTGTTGGTTGTGGGTCTGCGAATGTCCACGTCAAGGGCCGTAGACGTGGCTTATATACTGTAGTGAAGTGAGGTGAAGCAGGCGGAGGCGGGGTCATAGTGGTACCATCCACTTGTCGAAGTAGGTCTCCGCCTCCGCCTGCTTCACCTCACTTCACTACAGTATATAAGCCACGTCTACGGCCCTATGCTGTACATTCTACAAGATTGATGGACTGAACACATCGACTCCAGGCCGAGGAACTGATTACCTCATACTCCTCCTCTCCTTACGCCTTCCTCTTTGTATTGGACTGATGAAGCCACTGTGTGGCGAAACGTTTAGTGAATAAAGATTCTCATATGCTGCATAAGTGTCTCAATCTTCAACTTGTCGGTTTTTCTAACCATTCATCACAACTGTCCCGACACTGCAGCATCATGGATCTTGTTACAAAGAATTCTTCAACACTTGTTCAACCTTTGGACGAAGACCTACTTCGACAAGTGGATGGTACCACTATGACCCCGCCTCCGCCTGCTTCACCTCACTTCACTACAGTATATAAGCCACGTCTACGGCCCTATGCTGTACATTCTACAAGATTGATGGACTGAACACATCGACTCCAGGCCGAGGGACTGATTACCTCATACTCCTCCTCTCCTTACGCCTTCCTCTTTGTATTGGACTGATGAAGCCACTGTGTGGCGAAACGTTTAGTGAATAAAGATTCTCATATGCTGCATAAGTGTCTCAATCTTCAACTTGTCGGTTTTTCAAACCAGTCATCACAACTGTCTGACACTGCAGCATCATGGGATCTTGTTACAAAGAATTCTTCAACACTTGTTCAACCTTTGGACGAAGACCTACTTCGACAAGTGGATGGTACCACTATGACCCCGCCTCCGCCTGCTTCAACCTCACTTCACTACAGTATATAAGCCACGTCTACGGGCCCTATCTGTACATTCTACAAATTTATGGACTGAAACATCGACTCCAGGCGAGGGACTGATTACCTCTACTCCTCCCCCCTTACGCCT